CCAGAATAATAACTTTCTGTGTTTTGTAACTTTTCACAGCAGAATCTTTATTGTATGGTTTCCTCAAACATAATTTTTTTAAAAACATGTAGTTTTAATTAGTCGTCAATTCAAACATTTGGTTACTGCTGAAATATTGGGCTGGAACCCAAGTCCCTTAGAAGAATTACACTGTCTTTCAGGCATTTGTCAGTTCAGGTGTAAAACTGTGAACTTGACAATTGAAATTAGCAATGTGAGTTTATTTTAAAAAAATCCATGCTTTAATTAAAGAGCAAAACTTGTTTGACATATGCTCTTTCTTGGCTTAACTTTCCAATTAATAGCTACAGAAATCAGAGCTACTTATATTAAATTTAAGAATCTACTGTGGTGTTCACCACATTGTCGAAATCTTCTGAATAAGCATTACAAGGTGTTACAAGTAATGCAATTAAAATCCTGGTTCTAGTATTAAATGGTTGTATTTCAAAGGCTCTGAATGCACAGAAAAATAGAAGAGCATGTAAAGCTATTTTTCCAGTCACTCAACAACGTAACTGGGGAATCGTTCCTAATGCCCCTCTCTAAAGCCAGATTTTTAATTTCTCTGTATTTTCTCCTATTCACAATGAAGACTGAGGCCAAATACACATTACGGGGGTTCTGGTTTGTTTTATGCACACGACCTCTTCTAATTAGGTCCCTCCAAATTTCAGCTGCTGTTGTTAAACTCCTAAATTCACCCTGAAGTGTCTCTCTCTCTTAGATTGGCAGCCTTAATATTAGGTTGAACTGCTTGAAATTGCCTTTTTTGTACACCGAGAACTGTAAAATACAGATAATTTCATATGCTTCGACATAATACAAATGTCCAACTGCCCTACACAATACTTTATGCCAATACTTGTCTAGGTGCTCCTTCCAGCCAAGCTTTCCCTAGTTTAGAGTAACTCATAAAGAAATGGTCCTCTAGGAATTGTCTCTTACTCAGATTAGAATGGATTATCAGTCTTTTCTTCTGTGTGTCTCTTTACTCTTGGCAAAGGTTGCCTAGTCTGGGAGTTGAGTCAGTTTATACCTGGGTAGTGGGCGAGTTCTGTGAGCAGTGCAGGAGGTGGAGGTGGTGGTGGAAGAGGATGACAAGGGAGGGAGACTGATAGTGCAGTTCTAGTGTAAAATAGAGCACTTTAAACATTAAATTTGAAGACAGAAAAAACGCCCCTTTATGGCAAAGTGCGAAGGAAACTGCATAGAAAAGAAAACAGACAGCAGGGTATTCGGCTAAATCGTATGGTAAAAAATCTTTGCAATTGCAATACAGTGCGTTCGCTTTGAAGTGCACGCGTGATTCAGTAACTGACTCATGTTAACAATTAGAAATCGTCATTTGGGTTCCTGATTTCATTTGCGCCAAGAGAGAGGCGACTTTTAAGGGTGACGATAAATCTCCCTGAGCTTAAAAGGCAGAGAGGACCAAAGTGTGAACTTTTTACTTCAGCAACGGAAGCGAGAAATCCGTGATTCATTAAAGCCGAGACCTCCTCGGAAGCTGGCAGAAGAGGAGGAAAGGAAACTAATTATGTCTCCCTTTTCTGTGTTAGCTCCGACCAGTTTATAATCTGCTGCTTTGGAAGTTTATCCTCAGCATCTTCTGCTTTCTCCCCAGCCCTCCCCCTTCTGGGAGCGAAAGGGAAAAAAAAAAAAAAAAGGTCAGCCAAGCACTAGGCTCCAGGTGGCTCTCAAGTACTTCACTGCCAAAAGGGGGAAAAAAAATCTAAGCTGGAAAACAAGTGAGAAAGGGGCTCCCCAGAGGGGATTGGCTCAGCCTGGAAGACAGCAAAATTCGGAGAGCCTGAGGATAGCGCTCGCGCCGGTGGCCAGCGCTGCGAGCACAAGGACGCTTTAGGAGCGATTAGCCCGAGCTGGAGGCGCCGGCAGAGGCTGCGGCTGCTCCGGCGGCGAGGAAGGGACCCCGAGCTTCGTGCACAGGCATCGCGCTTTCTTCTCGCTCCCCTGCTCTCTCCCCTTCCCGGCCCCCTCCACCCCCCTTCCCTGGTGTTCCCAGCAGCCGAGGGTTTCAGATGTCCCACCGCCGTTTGACCCCCTCCCCCCGCTCTTCCACCCCTGCAAATGAGGTTTGACCAGCAGAGGCAGAGCCCACCTCTGGCTTGGAATCACTGACATTTAGACTTCAGGCTTCAACCTGTTTACAAGCGGGCTTTCCAAAAGGAAGGGGGTGGGGGACTAGGGCCAAACAAAACGCCAACCGCCACCCCTTCCCCCGCCCCCCCAAACAAGAAGTGACTTTCTGGAGGCTTCAAATCAACAGGCACCACCAAAAACAGAAAGCAACAGGGGGGAAGAAAACAACTGCGACCAGGCAGCTGCCTCCAGTTCTGACAACTCCAAACGGACGCACTTTTAGAACTGGCTGACAGGCTGGGGCTGTACAGAGCGGGACCAGAAGGTGCCAACGCAGAAGGGCACAGACAGCCCCCAACCCCCCACCCCACCTCCTTTGGGTTTTGTTCACCGTGCTGTCATCTGTTTTTCAGACCTTTTTTGCATCTAACATGGTGAAGAAAGGAATGAAGAGAAGAACAAAGTGACTTCTAGGGGAGCGGAGATCGCTGGTGACCATCACCACCACCGACACCACCAGCCTCTGCTGCTGTGGCCACCCACGTCCACCATTCACTGGGACACTCCAGAGGCGCAAGGCAGAGGTTCCGAGAACCGAGCGAGGAGAGGCAGCCGGCCCTTCCGAGGAGTTATGGATGTTGGTGCATTCACTTCTGGCCAGATCCGCGCCCCGAGGGAGCTAACCAGCGGCCACCACCTCCAGCTGTCTCCTTGCCTTGCACCAGGTCTTACCCTTCCAGTATGTTCCTTCTGATGAGACAATTTCCAGTGCCGAGAGTTTCAGTACAATGTGGAAATGGATACTGACACATTGTGCCTCAGCCTTTCCCCACCTGCCCGGCTGCTGCTGCTGCTTCTTGTTGCTGCTCTTGGTGTCTTCCGTCCCTGTCACCTGCCAAGCCCTTGGTCAGGACATGGTGTCACCAGAGGCCACCAACTCCTCTTCTTCCTCTTCCTCCTCGTCCTTCTCGTCTCCCTCCAGTGCTGGGAGACATGTGCGGAGCTACAATCACCTCCAAGGAGATGTCCGCTGGAGAAAGCTATTCTCTTTCACCAAGTACTTTCTCAAGATTGAGAAGAACGGGAAGGTCAGCGGTACCAAGAAGGAGAACTGCCCGTACAGTAAGTAACAAATGCCTGCTCCCCTCCTTCCAATTATCCACCCCCACCCCACACGGGGGGGAAAATCTCTTCCAGATGTGGCCAGCTAAATATTTACGTCCCCAACCCCTGTAAAATGATTAAGTGGAATACTTTCACACTAACTCACCCCCCCACCCCATGTATACATTGTGCTGCCGCACCCCCTTCCCTCGGAGCTCTCCCTCCACACCTCCCACCCCTTGCCACCCTATCCGCCCCTTCTCTCTCTTGTCACTTGCGGGGCTACTCAGGGCTCCCAAGAGTTGTTGCAGTCCATAGATGCCCCTCTCTCTCCCCACCTCCCTTCCCCACCTCATCCGACCGTCCCCTTTTCCTCCTTTCGGTAAATGACTCAAGTAAACACACTTTATTTCTTTTTGCTGGCGATCTTGTTAAGAGTTTTGGGACAGGCTCCTCAAGCTGAAAATAATTATCCGCTGCCAGTTGTAAGGGCTTTATGGGAACTTTAAGAAAGACAGCGTTAGTTATACTCTTCCTCCTCTCATTCTCTTACCCCACCACCTCTAGATAGGAGCGGAAAAACATTTTTCTGGTTCTGATTTTTTTTTTTTTTTTTTTTTTTTTTGGTCCCTTATGTTGGCTTGAGTGATTGTAGTCCATGAAGTTAGCTTTTCAGGCACCACCGCTGCTATTTGTCTTCTGCCTGCCTTCTCTCTTGGTAACATGATGCTCATGTCTGCATTGTCAACAGCATATGCGCTGCTTTGTGGTGTCCTGTTGTACTCGTTTCTTCTGAAACCGCTCATATTGCAGAGCCATACTACTACAGCATTGTAAACATCTGGGACTGGATTCACACAGACCCCACACAAATTTCATTGTCATTCTCTTATTTTCAAAGTAAAAGTCGTAAGTTTGTTTCCATGGCTATAGTTTATCCCGTAGAATAACTTTTTCTCCTCAACTACAGTTTATTCCCGGGATCTCTGGATCTCTCTCTCTGTTTCTTTCTTGCAGGGGTGTGGGCTGGGGGGTGGGG